CTGAAGACAATCTTTCGTTGTCTTGGCTGTGCGCTTAGAGTCGTCGTCCTGTTGGAAGGTAAACTTTTGCACCATTCTAAGGTCCTGAGTACTCCGGAGCACATTTTCAGATAGGATGTATCTGTACACTGCTGCATTCATCTTTCCTGACTAGTCTCCCAGTTCCTACTGCTGAAAATTATCCCCACAGCATGATGCTGCCACCAACATACTTGACCAGGTCATGAGGGGTGTCGGGTTTCTGCCAGACATGACGCCTGACATAAAAAGACTTCAATCTTTGTTCTGTCAGACCAGAGAATTTTCCTGCTCATGGTCTGAGAGCACTTCAAGTGCCTTTTGGCAAACTTCTGGTGGGCCATGTGCCATTTAATAAGAAGTGGCTTCCATCTGGCCACTCGACCACACAGACCTGATAGGTCCAGAGTTGATTGTCTTTCTGGAAGGTTTTACTTTCACCTCAGAGGACTGTTGTAGCTCTGACACAGTGACCATTGGGTTCTTGGTCACCTCCCAGCTAGCAGTGCTACTGTGACCATTATCTCCAAATAGAAAACTGGATGGGTGGAACCTGGATTTTTTGGAAGCTTTTACTGTTTGGAATAGAAAAGAATGGACCTGACTTGTGCTCTGGTGGTGAATGATTGTCCATCTCTATATGTGGCCTGCGACTAACCAGTCCAGGAAGTAGTCTGCCTTTAGTCCAAAGTCAGATGGAATAGACTCCAGCTCCCCATGTCCCTGAACAGTTTAAGCATTATAGAAAATCAATGGATCGATAGTTGATTGTCACTGTACACCGCAGGCCAGGCACAGAGCACATTTTGACAAACAACCATTTTGTCAACTCAAGTCAAGTCCAACTTTAATGTGAAATTCATCAAAAGTGGACATTTCTTACCTCTCAAGACAACATAAAACAAGAGGAGCCGCCGCGGGTGCCCGCACCGCCATCCAAAGAAATGTTAACATAAAATGACAAAATAATACAGGACAACACATTAGACACAGACAATCGTGCAATCTTAACCACTTTCCTGCATACACTTTGTTGTCTGAAGCAGTTATAGATGAAAGAGGAGCGAATGAAAGTGTCCTTTTCAGCAGTGGATCAAAGACGTCATGCTGCAATGTGCACACGTCTGCTACAAGCTAAGCTTGCAAGCAACAAGAAGCTGTAGCATCCAGAAACAAAAAAGAGATTGGCTCTCTTCTCCTGTCCCATGTAAAGCCGCTTCAATTCTGAGCCGCGACTCCCAGTTCCACATACGCATCGGCGCTCTGCGCTGACGCTCCTTTCTTCTCATCGTCGGCTCCTCAAGCCATGCATCCATCCAGCCGCAGTCTGTCCATCAGCACCGACCTTTTCACTGAACAAAGTGGGGCTGTGAGAATGCTGCCTATTTCAGGCGGAAGACAGTCGCCCCGGGGCTGTCCAGCAACGACAGTCAAATGGCGCCGACATTCCTCACAATCAAAATCCGTGCTGGTACATGTGTGCCGCCGAGAAGGTACAACCACCAAGCACAGATTATTCTTCTTTGACAAATGTTGTGGCCAAAAATGCTGAAAACAGTCCATATCAGGTCCACACGACTTAACAATAGCACCATGTGACAAAACAAAAGACAAAAACAAAAAACACAAGGTTCTTGGAGAGCACTTGCCGGCTGCCTACTCGGCCGCCATCTTGGAAAAAAAACACACTTTCAAACCAGTGAACAATTTAGAGTCTTTGATAAAGCCAACATGCATGTTCTGGAGGGAGCCAGCGTACCTGGGGGGGGGAAAAAACTACGCTAGCACGGGGGGGGGGGTTAAATGAAGACAGCGATAAACCTAAGTCATGATTTACAACCAAAACCTCAGAACTATGGGGTGGATGTACCCACACACCTTAAGTGCTGCCTCCAACTGTTTCTAATGAAATGAAATGGTTGCTTTTGGCACACAATATACTAATGTCATCCCTGGTCGGGTACTACTATTGCAGTCTAGTGACTGCCTTCATGGGTTCTTCACAGTGCAGTGTTTGGCGGGCTGGAGGCTGCCTAGGGAACCACGTGACCAAGATTTCCAGCGGCAGAGGCGTTTTCACTGCAGGCGTGTCTACTGCGCATGCACCGGAATCGCTCGATCCCGCAGCTGGACGTCAAGCTTCCTCTTGGTTTTCCCCCTCCTCTTCCTCCTCCTCTTCCTCCTCTTCTTCCTCTTGGCAAATCTTCACATTTGTTGGAGGCTGAAGCGGCTTTCCGAGAGCTCGCGCATCTGCATGGACAGATGCCTCCGGATCCGCGCAGGGGTTAATCGCTGTCTTTTTGTGCCCACTTCCAATGCATCAGACACCGCGCTTCTGTGACAGGGTGAGTGTTTAAACGGTGCAACAAAAAAAAGCTCCGGAGAGAAGACCGCGGCAGATCGCTTGCGAATATCCGTTGTTTGTGTGGCCTCTCACGGGAGCGTGGCCAGCCACCTCCCCTCGCTTAGCTCTCACGGGTGCACCTACCCAGCAAGTGCACAAGCCTTGCATGAAGTTAGTGTGTTTTTTTAAGCTCGCTAAACCATACCATGTGTTGCTTTTAGCATTCTTGTTAGCATGGCTATCTCACTTAGCTAAGTGACCGGAATGGATCATACTTATGTTGTTTTAGCTTTAGCTTAGCATGCATTTTCATTCGGATTTGCTTTCAAATGTGTGAACCCTGACCTCCATATACATGGGTACCCCTTGATATTTTGTGCTTTACAAGGTTGCCTTTTTAGGGAATCTCCAAACCATAACATACCTATTAAGTCAACACGAGCTCAGGTTGAAAGAAGCTAGTCAAATGAGAGGTGTATGTGTTTCAAAAGTCCTCTTGGCACACAAAAGACACCAAAACGGTTTCTCAATGCAAGCGCTGCTGTAAACCGGATTTGTTAAACAAGGTATGAATATCAAGGGAATTGGACGATAGGAACAGTGACTGAAAGCAGCACATCGCATGCCTGTCAAATGAATTAGACGCTGTGAAAAATTTACTTTTTTGCATATTTTCACTACTGATGTTTATGATCATCAAATTTGAACGTCAGACAAAAAGACCCAAAGTAAACATAAATAGCTAATTAATTTTTTATTTATTAAAGGAAACAACTATTCAAAGCTACCTAGCCATGTGTGGAAAAAGTACTTGCATCATAAATGATCTGTAGCCAACCACATTTTTTTGGAAAGTGGGGATCATTTTCAATAAGCATACCAAAGCCTGTACATACAGACCTGTTAAATCAACATTTCACTTAAATAGACCCTATTTGACAAAAAATAAAGTAATTGACATCAGTCTAGAAAAGATTACAAAGCCTTTCCTAAAGATTTAGGACTCCTACAAACCGTTGTCCTCAAATGAAGAAAACGTGGAACAGTGGTGAGCAGACAGCCTAGTTCACCACACACAAAAATGAAACATTTCTGACCTTTGTTTGAATTTTGATTATTACGGCAGAAATACACACACACACCCACAGAAAATCAGGTACTTCACAAAATTCGAAAATTTCATGTGACTTAATAAAAATTATCTCATATTAAATCAATATGCCCTCATTACTTTGTTGGACCTCCTTTTGCATTTCAAACAGCATTAAGGTGGCATGGCATGGAGGTGATCGTCCTTTGGCATAGTTTAAGATAAGATCACCTTTATTTGTCCCACACTGGGGAAATTTGCAGTCTACAGCAGCAAAATTGGGGGTTTAGGTGTTATTGTAGCCCAAGTTGCTTTGGGATTGAAGGGTGTCAATAATGTTTTTTTACACAGCTGTCAAGTCAACAGTCTTCCCCATGGTTCCAAAGCCTACTAAGCCAAACTGAGGCTAAAGGCTAAGAAAAAAACCTTTGCAGGTCATCTGCCTTAATTACTTGACAATATTGGAACACAAGGAGGCTACTATGTTGAACTTAGTCTTGATATTCCAATTTTGTGAAATACTGGATTTTTTTAATGGTTTGGAATATTTAACTTTGTGTGTTGAGAACTAACATGCAAGTTTCATTTTTTTATTTTTTATTATTGAAATAAATAGACTTCCTCTCAATATTCAAAACTTTTGGCACCCACCTATACATCGTCTTTGTAAATCCTCCTCCAGAGCTCCCGATAGCAATTTAAGGGGATTTAAGATGTATACAGTACATTATGCCAATGGATATGAAGATATATTTAAATATATATAGGTTGAACGTGATTTTCAAATAATTGTTGTTTTTTTTTTTTTTTTTTTTTTTTTTTTTTTTTTTTTTTTTTTTTTTTTTTTTTTTTTTTTTTTTTTTTTTTTTTTTTTTTTTTTTTTTTTTTTTTTTTTTTTTGAAACACGACATCCCAACTTAATTAGAATTTGGTTTGTGCAGCTTTAGAGACTACACCCGCCCCAACAATTTTTTTCCAAATGTACATCCTTGAGGTTCTTTTACTTAACGTTAGAATCGAAAATGTCTTAAATTTGACACCATGGAGCAGAGTGTAAACAGCCCTGCCACATTTGAATGATTACAAAAAATTGAAGTACAGGGGGAAAAAAGCCTTCAAAGATCATGAAAAGCCATTGTTTATTGTTTCACCATCAAATGCTGTGGGCCTGTCCACTGAATGCGCTGAAACCATGCCTTGCTCAATTGTCACCTGTCAATCAAATACAGCGTCTCTGTCAATTATGTTCAAACAGGTGTAATGTATTTAGAAACAAATCTCTGAATTCACTTTGCAGGGTCTTTAAGATGATCCAGTGTACTTTGAAGGGGACGCCAAACATTTGCTTTGCAATATGTAATGTCTATTTTTCTTTACATAGTGTAAAGAAAAAGTTTGACTTCCCCTTTAAGCTCACACCATTGCTCGGATATCACCCTTTAAGTCTTGACACAATTCCAGCTTGCTAAACACCACATTAAAATGTTTGATAAAAACGCGAACGTTGTGTGCAGTATCCAATGACATGTCTTTGTGTGTTATTTGCAGGAAACAAGAGTCCATAATGCTTGGGCTCCAGGGCAGTGGGCCTCCATCCTCCAAAATCTATCGTTGCGTGGCGTGTTCGGCAACCTTCAGCGGACTGGCCGCTTTGCTCGTACACCAGGCGACGCATGCCAACATGCTCCCCAAGGTCATTGCACCTCCCTCGACCCAGCCTGACATGAGCCTGCAGGGCGCCTTGGCAGCCACCCTGAAGTCATCCAATCCACCAGCATCGTCTGACGGCGCCTCGCCTTCGTTTTACATCTGTGATTGCGGAGAGGAATTTCAAGACTTTTGTCTCATGCTTGACCATAAGCAATCGCATAATTCTCCTTTAAAGTCACCCCCAACGACAAATAGTAATGCCGTCTCAAGTGAAACAGTGCCTGGTGCTGGTTCTCCTAATCTGACGGCAGAGTCAACTGTGGCGGTGACAGATTCGGTCCAGAGTTGCCCCACTACTTCAGGATCGCCACCTGTTAAAATAGAGCCCAAAGCCTGTGAAAGACTGGAAGAGAGCAAAGTGGTTCCATCAACTCATCTTGAACAATGTCAACCCGCTCAAGAAATTAAAGACGGGCAACTTGATCAGACATCTTCAAGTACTGAGCCAATATCACAGACTGTGAGGGATTCACCGCCTGCTCATAGTAGTGACGATGAGGAACCAGTGGTTAAAAATAACAAATTAATGAAAATCATTGCAACGGCCTACATGAAGCACGTTTCCGCGTCGCCACCTCCAAACGACAGTCATGATTTGATCACCCCCAAACAAGAGGCCATCCCAGTTGATATAACGCCGGTCCAAGAATCTGAAGAGCTACCGATCAATGATCTCTCTGTAGCAAAGTACAGACGACTACTCGCAAAGACCAGCGTAAAGACAAAAGCTCCCACCATTAGCCGAATTATTGACTCCAGCACGAAGAAGATAGTTTCTCTGACTAAAATGCTCTCGCCCGTCGTGGTTCTTGAAACTCGTCAGAAACTCCGAGATTCTAGCAGCAATGCCCTTTTTGGGAAATATCAATGCGGCCGCTGTCGTCGGACCTTTGCGAACGCCGACAGACTCACTGAGCATCACTTCTTGCACAAAAAGGAGCGAATTAAGTGTTGCCGTCGCTGCAAACAACTCATCATTGGCAAGCTGCCTTTCACTGACAATCATGTCTGTGTTTCATCAGTGAAAAAGCCTGCACAAGAGCCCAGTACATCGCCGCTAGTCCCCAGAATTGTGCCGTTCCATAATATGAAAAAATCGTTCTTTTGTCCTGTATGCAAGCACAACTACGCCCGCAGGTACAACCTAAAGAAGCACAAGTGTCACGGCCCAAGGGCAGCACTGTCCCAGACGCATCCCTCCGCTGACAGACTGCAAGCATTAAGATCAAGTAATAAAGCCTCAGCATTCAGGGATGGTCAAGGTGAGCGTGGAACGAGCAGCGTTTCCGTTTGCACGGAAGCCCCTCGGGTCAAAGTCGAGGTGACCTCGACTACTTCGGAGCAGTCTGAGATTTCAGATTGGTCTGGTTTTACCAAAGGCTTCCCGCCATTTTTGTCTCCTCCGATGGACCAGCATAAGGATGCCTCTGCAAGTGTGATGGAAAACAGTAGCTCGGATGCCTTGCCGAAGCATAACGAGAGCAGCAATGACGGCCAGTGGACAATGCCCTTGGATGATGAAATGGAGCTGCTTGGTTCTTCTCGGAATGCTGGTAATGAAGATGAGATGGAGCTGGAGTCGGAGATTGCGAACCTGAGATATTTTGTCAGAGATGGTGTGAAACGTTACCCCTGTCCCAGGTGCCAGAAAACATACAGTCGTCCCTCTACCCTGGCCCGCCATTTACGACTGTGTGGGTTCAGGCCTCGGGGGGCCGCGCCCGTATCGCACAGTGCGAATTATGGCGGCGGAGTCCAAAATAGCATCACAAAACAAATGTTTCCTTGCTCTGTCTGCGGCAGAAACTTCAACCGCAAAGATAACATGATGGTTCACAAGAGAAGATGCCAGTTGCAGCGGGCGGCAACTCGAGAGCCGTTGCAGCAGCATTTGCCGGCCGGTGCAAAAGGCAGTCCGGATAATGACGCAAACAACTGGGGCATCATGTCACTGCCCTCCGTGCTACCCAGACGGGTGACATGCGAGTGTGGGTTTGGATTTACATCTCCAAGACTCCTCCTGGAGCATCTACAAAAGCACGCGCAGGAATCTTACACGTGTCCGACGTGCGGAGAGACTGTTAATTCCTGGGCTGACTACGAGGTTCACCTACAGATTCACATGCATCCTCATCACCAGCTGCGGAAGGGACTCCAAGCACAGCGATCGCAACCACTGGTGCTTCGGATCCAACAGCAGCCGCCTCAACAACCGCAGCAGCCCCAGCCGCCGCCGCCTCTGCCTGTACGTCAGCCTTCGCCAAAGGAACCAGTCCCTGAGCGCTCAAATGTCAACAAAAAGCAGCGGGTGATATGCACACGATGCGGAAATACCTTTGCCACCCGCTGTTCCCTTCGAAGGCACTTGTCTTGGGACCGTTGCAAAGGTGGGCGCCCTCAAAATACACCCAAATCTTATCGCTGCTCCCGCTGCAGCTCCGAATTCCCCAACATGGTCAGTCTTCTGTTTCACCAGAGGAGCGGGGCCTGCAAACCACCCATCAAGCCCGTGCGCTGCCCAGTTTGTCTCCGTTGGTTTGGCACTGTGGACGGTTTGCAAAAGCACCTCTTGACTCACAAGCAGTCTGAAACCCATCGCTGTGATATCTGTCAGTGTTCTTACCCAAGTCTGAAATCTCTAAAAACCCATCGCAAGAGGGTGCATAATGTCATGTGCGCAGAACTCATGACTTAGTAACATTTTCCATTCTTTCTTATTTTTATTCTCATTTTATCAGTGACAGATGTGGGATTACAAAATGCCACTTTTGATTTTTGTACCTGCTTTTAATGATGTAAAAGAAGTCTGATGTAACACAAGAGGAAAAATAAGATAGTTTTGTAGCAGTTTGCTGCTGTGGAATCAAGTGTAGTTTTGTCAAGTCCTGTTATTTCAGTTTCAAGGTTGTAAATAGTTGCATTTACAGTTTTATCCAATAATTGTTCTGTAGCTTGTTCTGGTGTTATTAAATATTCCAATTCATTCCCGTGTTTTTGTATTTGTTTCAGTTCTATTTGGGTTCATCCAAACAGTTGGCTCTGTAGTGTAAAGCGCAGCTATGGAATTGCCTTGCAAGCATTCCGCAAGCAGATAACGAACAAATGGAAATCCATTGGAAATGGATTTGTTCAGTTTGATTTTAAAATTAATAATTTTTAAAATGAATTCATTTTTTAAGTATTCACCAGTCACAGAATCAGCACAGAAAAAGATGTACTCGAGTTTCTGGGTTTTGACAGAGATTAACTAATTATTAACTCACAGCTGCATTACACTGGATTTGTTTTGTGTATGAATAGCAACATACAAATACATTTATCGTGGTAATGGATTATGGCGCATTTGGTCTTCTGTACAACTATGTTGTGGGGGGGGGGGGAGGAAT